TTGATTATCATTTTCAAAAATAGTTCTAGGCCTCCAAAAATTCATTTTTCTCCATTCAAAACTCCTATCTAGGATAGGAAAGCTCTCTAAAAAATTTTGGAATTTATCTCAACCCCTAGCCATTTGTTTTGAATTTTCTCCGAAATAGGGCTTTACTGATAAGATTTTGGAAATAAATTTTCTAAAATAAATTCCTGTACTTTCAGGGCCTGAAATAAATTTTATAAATTCAAAAAAAACTCTTAAATAGTTTTTTCATATTTTTTCAAGAATTATTGAGGCCTCTACATATTTAAAATAATTATTTTTATCCTATTTTTACTATTTTTCTTGAAAAACCTTCATTTTGGGAAATTCTGTAATAAGCTATTTTTACTCCATTTTTACCTTCAGGGCCTCCATTGAGGTTCAAAACCTCTAATTCACTGATTTTTTATTTTTTAGGATTTTTCTCAAATTTTTTCATTTTACCCTTCCTAGACCGATAATTTTGAAAATATCGATCCAGACCCTTTCTAGGTCTTGTGTCATACCTGGCTTCCTTAGCTGGGCTTCTTTCCTTATTGGCCCTTAACTTAATTTTTCATCTCTCTTATCAATGTTAAATTTTATGGGATGTGACAAGTAGCAGCAGCAGCAGCAGTAGCAGTAGTATTAATAGTAGTAACAACAGCAGCAGTAGTATATATCTTGACCCTCTCCTCTATTTTTTATAGAATCTTATAAAATCATGGATTTCTTTAAATAAATAAAATATATTAAATTTTCATTTTATCTTAATTCCTTTTTTCTATCTAAAGTAAACTGTTGAATATCATAACCTTTTTTACAAACTTTTTCCAAAGATATATGTCTTTTTCTTGGAATGGAAAATCAAAAATTAGTGCCCAAACAAATTAATGATTCGGAATCAAAAACTACCAAAAGAATTCTTATCTTTTTGAATAAGATGAAACCAGTTATTACTGATACTTTCTTCTCGGTTCCTTCTTCCATAACCCAAGGTCAGAGAAGGATTAGATAAGAGGGCCCTATGGAGAATGTGGTTAGAAATCCATAATAAAGTCTAACCACAATGACTGAATTAATTATCTTCAGTAGTAGTAGTAGTAGTAAGAGGGCCTTATGAAGAAGGTGACCCAGAAAGGCAATGGTGAGTGGGATGCATGCGCACCATATCAAAGCAATAAGTTTGAGTTCGTTTGTCAGTTTCAATCCATTAACTATATTAGAAAGGAAACAATCCTCCCACTAAAGAGTGGAGTGCCTATTGCAAAAGTTATGGGAAGGCAATAGAGTGTTTCTGGGCATTCATGAGTAATAAGAGAGAGTTCGCTTTTGATAATAATGGTACTGTGAATTTACTTGATTCACACACACACACACACACCAGGATTATTGACAGTTGGTGCTTCTTTTTATGAAGAGCAATATCGTCCTCTCCTTATGCTCTCTATTCACTATAAACAAAAAAAGGAATTTAACAAAATAATGAATGTTTAAATGTGATTCTGCAAAACATTTTTCTTAGTGATATATGAGTTACTAAATCCATGATTTTGATAATAAGGTTATGAGAACATATCAACACATGAATCTCAAAAAGTATACATACGCTTAAGAGCCCTACATATGGATCGTATCAAATGTAAATGCAACCACTATAAATCATTTTCTAAGTTGGATTTGGAGGAGAGGTCCGCAACGTCTAGATCCGATAAGCTCGATGGAGATCAAGTGTTCTGCCTCCTTGTACCTAGAGAAATCACAAGGGCAAATCTTCCCGTGTTCCATTGTTACAATTCAATGGCATCCCTTCCGACATTCCATCTATTTTTTTTTAATTTTTTATTTAAAGACTAACTATACCTCAAGCATAAGAACTCATGATAAAAACCATAGAGAAATAGAGAAAATAGATAAAAATTGGTCAAAATAATCGGCAATAATTAAAATTTGGCAAACAAAACTAAAATAACTATTGAGAAGTGAAATAAATTTATAACTTTTCTAAAAAAAAGATGATATATCATGAACTTTGATCCTGCGTCTCATCCCATTCCAAAAATTTTATAAATGCGATTGCTTTGTCTGGAAATGATGGAACTTGAGACAGGCCAGGATGCAGTTAAACACCCCTATGATCAATCATTTTGAAGAAATCTAATTCCTTTTTTGAAGGATGACAAACAACCCAAAAAATTTTGGGGACTCATGAAAGAGACCCAAGTTAACATCCCCTACTTATAAAAAAATTCACATCCTGACACACATCTAATCACATACTAAGACTCTTATTTATAAAGTCCATGAGTCATTAATTAACTAATGACATTTTAATATTTCCATCACAAGCATTCCATTTAAATTTTACTCCCAACTAAAGGCTTGTTTGGTATGAGGGGAAAGGAGGGGAGGGGAAGGGTAGGATGGATTTTGCTTCCCTCTCCTTGTTTGGGTTGGTTAAATTTTTTAAGATTTTTCCTCCTCTTCCTCATAGCCTCTCCTCCCAAATTCACGGGATTTGGAAGAAAATAGTAATATTTTAGCTTATTTTGACTAATATACCTATAACTAGTTTTTAATATCTCATATTACCCTTCTGATCTTACATCGCATGGCAAATAGATGATAACTGTTGCACTTATTAGATCATATATCAAATGATAAAAATTCCCTTCTCTCCCATCTCCCCTCATTAATTCAAATAATATAATATTAAAATCCCTTGCCTCCTTTCTCTTTCCTTCCCCTCTGTTAAAATCCCTCTCCTTTTCTTTTTTCTTTTGAGCCAAACACACCAATTAATGCTCCATTCCTATTCTCATTTCCATCTATATTCCCTTTCCCCATCGTCAAAATTCCTTCGCGCATAGTGCTTTTTACGTCTGTCAAGGACACCAAATTGATAGCTACTTGGGCTGAGTTTCTTAGTTGCTTGTCCTATTTCACTTACCGCAGATTTTTAATTGTACTATTATATTATTACATATACTTTTTGTTTTTGCCTGAATACTATTACATATACTTGAAAGTTGAAACTCTGTAACTCCTATAGCTCAAATTCTCAATCTCATAAACTCAAAATTTACTTGCGGTATTAAGTCCAATCAAAAGAAAGAGACTTATATTTTACTTATTTGTATTTTCTTTCAATTAGATAGATATAGTTTCATGAAAAATGATTTTAGAAGAAAAGATTGTGTTAAAATCATGTTCGACACCCTTTAATTGGATAATGCGTTGAAATGTTCTTTACAAGTTATTAGCCATTTAGCTTCACAGAATATCAATAATAAAATTAAAAGTACATATAAATAATATATCTGAGTCTAAAGAACTTCGATAATACTCTTTCGGTCCTTAATATAGGACCCATTTAACTACTTTGATTAAATTAAGGATGTTAGTTAAGTTAGGTAACAATCATAAATATGACATATATTTCCCAAAATGCCCTCATTAGAACTTCTTTTAAAAAACAAACATTTGAAGAAAAAAAATTCAGAGTCTGGCTAACTCACCTCCTTCGGTCCAACATCGTCCAAGCTTCATATGTATAGGAACACTGTTTTGGCCTCTGATTGAATGAAATCCACCATATTACAGTCATCTTTGTTTTTGGGATTCACAAATTCACACAGCCTACATAATTATCTTTTATAGGTTTTTTTTTTGTGGTCAGAATATCTCTTATAGGTTTGATGCTAGTTTATATATATATATATATATATATATATAGGCATTATTGTGGTATTTAATTATTTAATAGGGGTAATTTAGGAAAAAATAGAAAAATATGAGAAATTAGTCCTATATTTAGGACCAAGATCAACCTTCTAATTGGATCCTATATTAAGGATCGGAGGAGTATAAATATTAATACAACTACACAAGATATACATTTATAGTAAAGAATCAATGAACCACATGCCAGAATGCACAATAATGTTATGTACTTTTCAAACTCTGTAAAATTTAAATATTCTCCCGTTTTACTTTATTAAACTAAGAAATTTAGCATAATTGTTCATTATAAAATATATTTACTTGGGTGGTTGTGAAAGCCAAAGTTGCATTTAAAAACAACAGGGAATAAGAAAAAGCAATGAGAATCAGAAGATTGAAGGAATAAATATAAATAAACTAGTCCAACTTGTAATTTCCGCGATTAAAAAAACCAAAGTAAAACAGTAAAGATATTGGAGATTCGAGGAGTACGAGGGTGAGGGCTGTCACTGTCGGAGGGAGCCACCAGACATGTCTCTTTGTACCGTAAAGCAAACTAAACTTCAAAATTAAGACAGCCTGGGATGGCTACCCATTTAACCTTTCTTTGAGGAAAAAAAAAAAACAGAACAAAACAAAACTGCAGACAAAACCCCAGCTTTATCGCCGGCCCATAATTGGAAATTCCGAAGTCAGTCACTCCCAATCTAATCTGCTTATTTCCATCTTATTCCCTTCTTCTATTGGGCTATTTTGTTCAGAATTTTAGGTTCTAATATCACTCAGGCTCAGAAAATAGGAGATCGGAAAAAGGTAGGGGACGATAAGGGACATTATAATTATCTGATTATTTTCTGATCTCTCCCTCAAGTTTGGTCTCCAATTCCAACCCACAGTAATTATGTTAACTGATTTTTTGTCCATTACACGGTTCCTTTCTTTCACTTTCATCAGATTAATTTGTGGAAGTTCTGGTTTTTTTCGTTTTCTGCGTAGTCAACAGCCAGACCCAGGAAAACCCTAATTTCTCTTCATCACTCGATTCTTTTCTTTAATGAAACAAAATTTCCTTTGATTTCTTCCTTTTCACTTTTGATCTTCATCTTCCTTGGTACATCAACTAGCTATCTGCAGCTTACTGATTCTTTTTTCTTTTTTTTGGAGTTAGTATTTTTCTTCTGTGTAAAACTATGCAAGCCCAGAAATTAATTTTTACTGATGAATTGATTTTCGATGCTTTGGTTTGTGTTAATTTAGAAATTAAAGGGGAGATGACAAGAAAGAAGATAGAGATAAAGAAGATCGATAACATATCAGCAAGGCAAGTGACATTCTCAAAGAGAAGAAGAGGGCTTTTCAAGAAAACTAGGGAACTTGCTACGCTCTGTGATGCTGAGATTGGTCTCATTGTCTTTTCTTCCACTGGCAAGCTCTACGACTATGCTAGCTCAAGGTCTCTTTCTTCTCTTGACTTGTATATATATAGCCCTTCATTATCATGTGTGCGCGCGTAGCTTTCCTTTTATATGTATATAGATTTCAATTATATTTCTATCTCTATAGATCCATCCTTCTTCATATTGATCAGTCAAATCCTGTACAAAATCTTGATTTCAATTTAAACAATTCTCAATCGGGGAATAAATTCCCGAGTACTATTGTACCTTTAGAGAAGAAACATCGTATTAGCATAAAAGAGCAAAAGGAGCAAGAAATATAAAATGGAAAAAAAGGGAAATATTGTAATTTGTTTACAATGTGATTGCAAAACCTTTTTCAGCTACAAAAATTTTGGAATATTTACACATTTGATAGACAAGTTGTTTATGAATAATTATTAATATTTTAACATCCTACCTAGTATATCAGTATGGATTGTAGTGATGGATAGTAAGACTAACATTTTTATGTATTATCTATGTATCCATGTTTTTTGGGTGAATGTGTGTGTGTGTGTGCATATCCGATTTCAAAATGCATCGGAAAACAATTATTTCTGGATAAATGTATAAAAATAAAGACGATCCAGATAATATCGAATAGGACGTTACTCTTTCTCTTTCAATTTCAAAGTTTTGAAATAATATATACAGGATTAGTAAGCATCAACAATAAATAGTTGTCTTTAATTATTTAGACTAAAATTGGCCAAAAAACTTATTCAGACTAAAAAGTTTCAAATAGTTATACTTGTGTGCGTCATTTTACCATCGTACTCATAGGGTCCTTCATCCATAATGTATCGAAATCTATTATCCAAGAACTTATAGCTTTGCCCAAGGACTCACAGCCCAATTAGAATCTGTATCCTGCTAATTAATTACATGTATCTTTGCATTGATTAGCATAATCTATAAATAATTTGCAAAACACCTTATGTATCTCACAATAATCCTATTGGCCATTTGAAAATGATTTATTTTGTTGTGGATATATTGAACTGAAAACCACTCATGACACCTAAAATAAATAAGAAATCAGGTCATGGACATGTCATTGCCTATATCAAATACCTTAGGGAGCCTACAAACTTTGTGGCTTTCTACCATTTTGGATAAAAGCCATTAATTAGCTAGTCTTCACATCAATACGATGTGCCTTCAAGTTTAAACTCACAACTATCATAAATTAAAATAAGACTAACTGATAATTGAATTTCATCATCATGGGCGATCGAGAAGATACTCTCATACTCAGTGCCTTCTTTTGATGTATACTACTTGTCAACTAAACCGATATTATATCTCTCAATAGAACCACACCCTCGTTGCTGTCTTGAGGATTCACTTGTTTCCTTATGGTTTGTTGACCAAATAAAAGATCAACGAATTTCTAAACATGGTTTGTCTTGGTTGATTCTATCTCTTCTTCCATTACTTTAATCCATTTTTCCTTAGTTGCACATGAAAGGGCTTCTTTTGCTTTAATTAAGCGATTCGTCATCTTGCAATTACTATTAACACTGCAACGTTTATCTCAAAATGACGATATAGAGGAACCTTTCGTCTTTTATCTATTCCTACATGGTTGTGTCTCTCAGGGGATCACCCTATGAAAGAATCACCCTTAAATTAGCAAGTACACATCTAATTGTTTCTCACTTGTTTGATTTTGATCTATAAAACTCATGTAATATGACACATGTTTATTTATATACATCCGTCTCATCTTATCTGTCAACTCTCCGATTCCCTCTTTTTTTTTGGGGGGGGGGGGCTCCAAACTACTTCCTCTGTCCCTACTTATATGACATGATTTTTAAGGCTTTGATGTCCCTCTATATAAGTTAATTCACAAAGTTCTAGGACAAATTAATGAGATAATTTTTCCTAATAATGCCCCTGGGCAATAAATAAAATGAGTTGGCGCACCTGCTATTAATAAAGGAAAATGATGACCATTGAGGACAAAATTGGAAAGAAGGAATAAATTTTTAGAAGTCAACTAATTTCTCAATATCTGTGAATTAGTTAATTATGTCTTATAATTAGAGATGGAGGGAGTACCTTCCTTACTGTTGATATGTGAGGGATTTGGATGATACTTGTTTATTTGGGGAAGCAAGAAAACACACATATAATTAACATTAGATCTAATCGTAGAGTTTAGTCTTATATCATGTGGCTAGCCTTTTCTCATCCCTAAGCCTGATAAGCGGCCCCTATTTAAATTGATTGGCTAAGATCGTGTTAGGGAGTCCACTAAGCTCACTATCAACCTTTTATAGATAAACCCACATATTTATGTGGATAGAGACCGTGGCTCAACTTCCCTTTTGCAACCCTTGAGCCAGTTGCATAACTAATGGATAGACAAGTCCCAAAAATCCATGTCATAGGAAAGCTTATTTATGTATTTAACTCTACTTCAACTTTTGTTGTTTTCACATCCTAGAATTAGCATAGTAATCATAGTGTAGTTGATGTCAACGCTTTGCAAAATTTTCAGGGAATGAATAGCCGGTTCATGGGCGTTATTGCTATATCAGGATCTCTCACACTAGAATTGATTCCAGATTCTCTCTCTAGTGTATATATCTCCTTTACCTTGGACTCTCTAAAACACACAACAAAATGAAATTTTCAATCGCTCTCATGATATCAGGGATCTATTATCTAGAGTTGAATCTGTTAAATTCATTGGGGGCAATGCTAGTAAGAAGGAAACAACTGTGAGGGGAGTCACATGCGGTCAGGCTGATCATCTTAGTAGGCTGAACTTAGTCTTCAGTGTCTTCCCTCCAATTGGTCACTAACCAGAAAAAGTGTATAAGCTCTACGATCACATTTCTTATAGTATCATTCAAAGTATGAATGTCACTTTTTATGAAACCCATTCCCCAAGTCTCTAGGGAGATGAGTGAATCTCATACTTGATATACTTGACCTAACCTATTAGTTGTGACACTTCTACCCATAATCAAATGACTAAAACCATATGAAACTTGTAGAAAGGAGAAGAGGAAAAACAAAGAAATAAGATCTTCTTATTGCCTACTCATGAAGGAAACGAAATTTAGAAGCCAAGCCTTGTTCCTGAAGCACCAAGAGTATCTGAAATGGGGTACATCCGGAAACTGAGCCATATGAGCAAGTATCGAAGTTAATGAATTCAATAATTTTGATGCACCTATTTCTCTTAGCAGCAAGAAGCCTAGTTCTTTCATTGCTCATCCTCTTGAACAATTTGGTTCAAGTGATTCTTTGTTGTCAAGGTATTTGACAGTTATTACTAGCAGCCTTGATAAGATCAAGACACCAAATAATATTCAGGAGACCCTAAATGCGCCAAAATGGAAAGAGGCAATTAGAGAGGAAATGAAAGCCTTAGAAAAGAATGGGAATGGAGAAGTTATATAACTTCCAATAGTTAAGAAGCCAGTTTACTGCAAATGGGTTTTTATTGTGACATTTCATGTTGATGTGAAAATTAAAAGGTACCGAACTAGTTCAATGGCCAATGATTTTCCTTAGACATGGAATTGATTGTGCAAAAATTTTCGCTCCTGTGGCTAAATTAAATACAATCCTAGTTCTTCTATCTTTAGCTACTAATTATCACTGGCCGGCCACTTCAACAATTAACTATTACTGTTCTTATTCAGAATTGATTGATGTTCACATGACATTACAAGAAGCCTTTGGATGGGTTGAAACATTCTCCTAGGGCTTGGTTTGAGGTGTTTACAAAAGTTTTGAAAAGGGGAGGCTACAAGCGGGGACATCCATACCACACTATGTTTTTTGAGCATAAAAAGGGAACAAGATCCTATTCTCGTTATGAACATATGGATGATATTATGCTGACAGGAGATAATACATTAGAAATGAACCAACTAATAGAAGTAAAGGCTATTGAGTTTAAGTCTAAGAATCAATGTATTTTAGAGGAAATACATACATATATATATATATATACATACACACACACACCCACACATATCAGAACTGTTGAAAAAAACAGGAATGCTTGATTGCAAACCAAGTGACATTCTCACACAGGCTAGAAAGAGAGGTGAAGGTGAAAGTTGTTGATAAAGAATGGTGTCAGAGATTGGTTGGAAAACTGATCTATTTGTCCCTTGCATGCTAGCTTTTGATAACTAAGTTTTGCTAGCCAGCATATGCATCAATCTAGAGAAGGTCACTTGGAAGCAGTACTTTATGAAATCCTGAGATACTTGAAATAGTCTCCAAGAAGAGGCCTCCTCTTCAAAGGGGGAGAGTATATGAATATACAGAAGCATTCACAGATATAGAGTAAGAAAGATCTTCACAAAGATAATAGATCTAACTATAGCTATATTACCCTTGTTAGAGAAAATCTAGTGACTTGTAGGAGTAAGGAACAGAAGGTGGTGATAAGAACTAGCGCTAAAGATGAGTTTATAGTAGCTCAAAGCATATTTAACTTGAAGGGCGTTAGTTTCAACAATGACTGAAGGAATTTAATGAGGAGGTTTAGATGTTGATAAAATTATAGTGGTAATAAAGTTGTTATTAACATTTCTCTCGATCAAATTCAACATGATCAAACCAAGCATGTCGAAGTAGATAAGCATTTTGAAAAGTTGAAAATCTTCTCACAATAAATCTTTGGGAGTAAAAAAATTTAAATTAAATCATCATTTATTGTTGTTAAAAGATTGAAAAACTCGGCTGAAAGAAAAAGCCTAAAAGTACTTTAACATAAAAGAGAACACATAACGAGATCACCAAATAGACGCAATGTTTGAATTGTTGAGCGCAGTAACATGCCTTTATATGTACATAAACATGTCTTTAAATGATATTCATACATATATAAACATAATCATATTAGCGTAAAAATGGGTGCAGAAAGCGCATATGATTATGGAGAAAGATCATTCAATGAGACATATGTTTCATTTAAACAAAAATGAGTTAATAATCTACCAAAGGAATTCTGAGATTTTTTTTTTTCCCCCTATCTCAAGTATGCAGAAGATAGTTGAAAGACATGGTATCCATTTAGACATGCAAAGATCAGATCAACCTTGTATTGATTTGCAGGTAAGTAATTAATTTTTTTCCAGCAATTTTCGCAAATGATGATTTGGTGTCGCATCAGTTAAAACAACGAAAATGGATATTTTACCACAAGCAAATATGTCACTAAAAATTATCATAAGCCTATTTGGCATGGAAGTGAAAATAAATGTTACATGCGCATATATATAGTACTTATCTCCTCTATCAAACATATAGCCTTTAATGTTATTACTAGTTTTCACCTTAAGTTGTTGGGTTCGTTGTAATGTTATTGTTAGTTATAATAAGTGCATAATTCTTTGTGCTTGGTTTAGAGTAGCCTAATTATTCTGCATGATGCTGAACCTATACCCTACAGAAGTATCAACTTTCTTGCAGCAACCAGATGATGAAACAATGCATCTGAGCATTCTCTGATGCTAAATCTTTCAATTTTGAAGTGCTGTCTCTAATTCTGAATATTAAAGAAAATATAGAACGTAAAAACCAGTTAATTGAACGAAGTGACGACATATATAGTATAGGAAGAAGTATCTGTTTTTCTTTGCTATATTATGGATTGCATGCCAAGTAGCCTGTTAATCAAGACTTAAATCTCTTTAAAACTTAAAGATCCAACACGAGATTCTTTTATCACGGAATGTAATATTTCACAGACAATGCTTAACCTGATGTAAAATCGTAGATGGGTTTGCCATGGAAAATTTTTGTTACAGATTGGATGTGAAAGCTTCAAAGGGCTGAGCCATGAAATAGCAATAAAGACCCATGAACTGAGGTATATATGCTCATACTGCACGATAAGTACTGTGTATGTACCATATATATAGCTACTATATTGTATTAAAGAATCAGGGTTCTTCCACTTAAACAGGCAGTTGAATGGAGAAGAGTTGCAAGATTCAACAGTTCAAGAATTACAAAAACTTGAGGAACTGCTTGAAAGGGGTTTGATGCGTGTTTCAAAGGCAAAGGTCAATCTGTTTCCCTTGTACCTCGATTAATAGGCAGGAATTAACTAGGGTTAGGAAAAAGGAGTTGGAAAAGAATTCTGTGTGCATACGTATGTTTGTTATGCAGACACTGAGATTTTAAAGGAAGCTTTGATTCCATTGGAATTGGTGAAACCTGATCCCGCCTGTGGGACTATGGAATTGGGCTTTGAATCTATGAAAATGAATTTTTGAACAATTTTTGCCCCTATCTAAAACAAATTTTGATAATTTGTTTTCTCTTGTTTGCAAGAATTGTATCTTCTAGAATCCATTAAATGGGAGGACTTAAACTAAAATAGTTGAACTTTTTTTTTTTTTTGTAATATCTAGACCATCAACTTTGACTTGGACCGCATAACTCACATGCACTTTAGGAATGTTGAGGTGATTTGGGCCCCACTGCTGCATGAATAATCTTGACAGTCAAATTACTAATGTATTAAATTATTATGTGTAGTTCCATCTTATAAGAATATAGTTTCTTGTATGTTTCAGGATAAAGCAATTGTAAATGAGACCTTCGAACTCAAGAGCAAGGTATATGTCATCCCATTTGAATCATTGATCCGTCCATACTTTTCTAATTGCTCTAACTTAATTAATTGAGAAACAAAATCTTTAATTGATACTAAATTAAAGATCTAAGTTGATCCGTTGGATAAATTAGAGTGACAGTGCTTCAATTAAAACTAAAGACACTAAATTAATTTATAGAGAAAATAAGAGGAAGCAATCAAGCTTACTTTTCATGATTCTTAAAACCAGAATTGATCAAACTTGGAGTGTGAACATTCATATTTTTAAGCAAGTTGCTTGGTTTGGCAGTGAGAGGACCTCTTCATTCTACCATCAATTAGTGGTTCCTAATTGTGTTTTTATTAACTAGAGAAGTTTGATTATAAATTAATTTGTATGTGCTTAACATAAACACTGAAGTTAAGTTTGCTGCTTGACCCCCACAACTTTTTAGAATTTGCATTTAATGTGAATGTAAGGGACATTGACCTGAATCTTTTCTTCTAAAATGTACATGATTCAGAAGTCTCATTAATTAATATATATAATATAATTAGTACATTATATATATGTATATTGAAAGGTTTAGAAAAAATATGTCTTGCGTCCCAATAACGCGCCTCACCTTAGAAGGTTTGATATAACAGTTCAATCTCCACTATACCTAATTTTCATCTGGTAAAGTATTTTTTTCCCCAAAAAAATAGACTTAATGAATGAAAGTTTTTTGGTATTATCCCAATTATGTGTTGTTATTAGTATGGCAATATATGCTATTTATTACCTTAATCTCTTCCTCAAGTTTCAACATATGATTCAGGGAAAGAAACTGATGGGAGAGAACAAGAGATTGAAACAGGTGACATATAACTATGTTTTCCAGATCATTGCAAACGATAGGATTCATTGGAATGGCTTAGATGATAAGAATATCTGTGTTTTCAGGTTACACATGAACAAGGGCAATCATTTGACTCAGTGGATTTGTCCAGCTCATCCTCTAATATTCCTCAACACTTCAATGATTTTGATACCTCTCTCAAGTTGGGGTTTTCTTGATCTTATACAATATTTAATTATATATGATTGAAGAGCATCTAGAAGAAAATGATTGGATCAAAATCAATTGAGAAAGTCAATTATTTTGGTCCGTAACAGCGAAATAAAATTATTGAGAGAATGATAATAAGGTCCCAAATGATTGAATTAACAATAATCGTGTTATCAACAAACAGTTTTGAAAGCAAAAAATATGAACATTGATTCAAGCATAATTATGTGAATTCAGAAGTCGTAATTACAAATAAGCTATTTTAGTTTTAAATTTAACTCTCCATTTACAATTCCTATTTGTAAATTATCTGAATTGACATTTACAACAAATTTTTCAGAAAAAAATTTAAAACACCTAATTGTCATTAATTCATTCTTTTAGGATTTAAATGCCATTCTCCCAAAATTGCTCAGTTTCCAAAAATAAAAGATTCTTCTTCAAATTAAATGCAAATATATTGTATATCTTAAATGAAATTGGTTATGGTTTATCTATAATAAATTTACAAATCTTAATAAAACAATCATCAATGGAGTTTCTTATTTGACAAAAACAAAAAAAAAAATCTTCTTATGCTAGTGAAATTTTAAAATTGAAGAAATTAGTTGTAAATTTGCTATAATAATATTATAAATTTTTTAAAAGATCACAATTTTATTATAGCAAATTCACTTCTAATCATATTATAACCTTATTAATAAAATAAAAAAATGTATTAACTCTTATTATAATTATTCAATAATAGTAACAATGTGTCTTTTAATTATTTTATTACGCCAACCCACAAATAACAGTTTTTATCTAAAAAGACTATTTTTTATGCTATTTATTTTTCTATTTCATTGTTCACACCATACTGTTATCTATAGGACACCTAAGTTGATAATTAGATTTTGATGTTATATCTTTCTGAAATTTGTATATAATTCAACTTGAATTTTAATTGAATCCCTGTATGTTTTTAAACAATTCTTTATAATTTTATATGATTTTAATCGTTGTTTCTTTTAAAGTGTTTTATCATATGGTCATAGTTTCAGGGAATTTTTAACTAAGTTCCTAGAATTTCATGTTACTAATAAAAAAAACTATAGAAAACCATGACTTATAAGGATATGATTAAATAAAACTACCAGAACCTAGTTAAAAATAAGTTAAAAGTATCAAAATTTGTAAGTTAACTTTCTTTAATACTACCTCTAATTCTTAATATAAGAGTTAGTTGACTAATTTAAGTACATTAAGAAAATTAGCCATGTTATAAATAAGTATTATCTTCCCTAAAATACCTTTATTAATAATATATATTAGATAGAAACCTCAAAATATCATTTGACAAAATATTTAATATATGCGACCATTACAAAGATTAACTAAAAAATAAATAAATAAATATACGAGATAAAATATATTAAAATTTTATATTTAAAATTAAGTTAAAAGTTAAAATAATTTTTATATTAAAAATCGGAGGTAGTATCAAAGGATTTAGGGAAAAAATTATCAATATAAATGGTAGATAGGGCCTACAATACATGAGCCCCCTAAGATCAATGTTGAGACCATACGGCCCACTACTCACGAAAGTGAAACAAAGTTTGGTTGGGCCAGTTTATAGTACAAACGATTTGATGTCTCTTAATCCAGTAAGAAAAGTTTCGTAGTTCACATCTTAATCCATTAACTAAATGTGTTAGACGTCAAGCAAGGTAAAACCCCCACTGCCATAGTCCAACCATTATAGATCTTTCTTATGAAAAGATTGTTCAGTCAAACTTCTTCTATTCTTTTCCAAAAAGAAAAAGCGTTTTTCATAAACAGAACAAAATGATATTAAGTAAAGCCCTTAAATGAAAAACCCTTCAGTTTTATAAAAGAAAAAAAAAATTCTTTTATAAAAGAAAAACCCTCAAATGAAGAGCGCTTTTCATACTCAGATGATACAAAGAAACACATTCTAAATTAACCAGGCTTTGTATACATAAAATGGATAGCAATTATTTGTACAGATTAGGGAAAAGATTATGAGTTAAGGCAAACTAGACCATTCCTTATTTGTACAGATCATGATATTATTCTAATTATACCCTTATTTAGAAACTTTTCTTAATCTTATTAGAGTAGTTATTTTCTTGTAAGTACAAATATCTTCTTATTAAAAACCTAATTAAAGAAGTTATTTATTTCTAATTGTTTATACGACAAAAATGCGGATTGTCATAATAGTAAAGTGACAAGAGATGTAATTCTCACATAGACTTGTATTTAAAAAAAAAAAGAGTCAAGCAACAAACGTCGTGAATTCAACTAAAGTTGACTAATTGCATGCGCGAAAAGTATGAAGACTTTAATATTGACTAAGGACTTCGTATACTGAAGCTCAAGACCGCTCAACTAAATCCCGAATTATACTTGCTTTTTAATGATGATTATGCACGGATAATAAAATGGCGTTAAATTAAATGAGTTTTTTTCAAAAAAAAATCCATTAAATCCTATAAATTAAACTTATAATGGGTTTTACGCTGGAGAATTAATGGATCAAATTATAAGGGCCCAATTTCAACAAAATAACTACAATCATTGATTCAAAATTGAGGTATTCTATGTGGAAAAATTAGTTAAAATTCCCTTTTGACAAATTAATTGAGAAATGGGGTCTAGAATAAATGTAAAGTTGTGTGGTCCTTAAATGTCGTGAGTGTGATAGGAAAAAACCACGTTGCCTTGACGAATGTTAATTGTATATGACAGATTCTCATTTATATATAATGGACCTTCACTTGTATATAACATATCATCACTTGCATACGATGAATGCTAATTGCATACGATTAATTTGCATATGATGAATGCTTACTTGTATATGTAATTAGTATATATATAACGAAATAACATAAGAACTCATATGCAAGTAGGTATCTGTCATATGTAAGCAAATATTTGTTATATATAAGTGAGTATTCTTGATATGCAATTAGCACCTTTGGTACGTAATTACTCCTTTGGTCCTATACTTATAGGACATCTAATTTTTAGTATGTTTTACATAGACAGAAAAAATCTTAAACCACATTAATTCTCATTTAAAATACTCCTCCGGTCCTTAATATAAGACCCATTTAACTAATTTGATTAGATTAAGGAAGTTAGGTAAGTTAGTTAATTATAAGAAAATTGATTCATTTTTCCTAAAACACCATAATCATCTTTCTTAATGCAACACCTCACTTTTATATACTAATAGGATCATTTTAACGTCTGTGAATCACTAACGCCAGGTTTCTGTCCTGAGAAAAGACAGGGATTTTTTTTTTTTTTTATCCTTTAACATTAGAATCCGTTGATCAAATATTTCAAAGCTTCAGATAACTGATGAGTGATCCAATATCAACCCTGCTTTCAACTTAATCTATTATCATCTAAAATAATTTCATACTATACAATCTTATAATATTATATTTAAAATAAAGCAACGCTCTTGGTTGACAGCATATACGTGCACCTGGCAATGCTCACTTCCTTCTTCTAAAGGATACAAAATAATATTTCCATAGAGCAAGTAAAGTTACTTGCCCATATATTTTGCTATACAATTTACAGAATTAAAACAGGTATCTCTGCTCTTCAACCAGCCCACCTTCTTCTTAAACAACCTCCTTGTCCTTCAGGCTACTAGCTTTCACTGTTCATCATAAATTGGGGGGTGAGATTCCGAAGAATCCCCGTAGTAGTAATTTCCATCAAACAAATGTGCAGATTACATAAAGAATGCAAAACAAGCCAAAGTGGAACATAACCTTGCAAGCTAATGCAATTAAGCATTTATGCACAATGACAGATATAAAAGCTGAATAAATAATGCGCACATACCTGGCAATCACTGCCCCATGTCTATTAGACAAGCTGAATAAATAATGCGCTAATAATTGGCAATCACTGCCGCGCATATAATTGGCAATCACTGCCGCGCAAATAATTGGCAATCACTGCCGCGCATATAATTGGCAATCACTGCCGCGCAAATAATTGGCAATCACTGCCGCGCATATAATTGGCAATCACTGCCGCACATATAATTGGCAATCACTGCCCCACGTTTATCAGCTGCACGTGGTCACGGTTAAAAATCTATGCAAGGAATTAAGGATTACATGTTCTCATGCTTTAGAAAAGTAATATGGCACAAACAGACATGCAACAATCATACACAAGTGTAAGGGAGGAAAGAACTACTACCTGAACCTTCTGCTTCAAAATCAAACCTTACTTGTTTCCTTTCTCTTAGCTTCTTCGGTAGGCTTTAGCAGATATATAAACCTATCATATTAGTAAGGGTTGGTTAATACTTGATCCAACATAATTTATAAATTAAATAACTCTCTTTAAATCCCAATCTCTTTCAATCTCTACCCTTACTTAATAGTTGGTCATCCTGGACAATTTTTCTTATTTGAACTATTATCTTTGGAACGCTTCCTTCCTTATCTCAACCCATAGTATTACCTTACTTAGTAACTAGCATCTCAATCAAACTATGCCACGTCCCTAAAACATACCAGCACCACTTCATTTGAAGTTTCTAAACTCAATTTAATAACCTACAATACTTGTTCAACATCTGGAGATACTAAACAGTAACTATATATTGAGTTTTCATTACAGCACATCCCTATACACATGTATGTTTATATCTCCAATGATTCACATAACCTTGCACTTAATCTGGAAATATTTTCCAAATTTACGAACATACTTGAACATTCATAATTCAACCCACTAATATCTCTCTACATTTGAAAACTTAACTATATGTCCTCTATCTTTGACTTCTAATTTTAATCATTTGAATTCAAATCGAGCAAGTTCAAATTCTTCCAACAATGAATTAGCACCCTTGAATGTTTTCAGCGTGCTTATAATTTATAATAACAACATTCCTTTCTTACTGATATGAAATTCCAGCTTCATAAACATCATTCTATCCACCATTTGAAAGTCCCCAGTTTAAAATTACAGTTCCTCTTGAAACCCACTTGCCCGAAAATACTTTCCATATATCTCTATATATATACACATGTACCGAAACTATATATGTGTGTGTGTGTGCGTGTCAGTTCGGTCTCCTCTACTTTTCCCATGAGCCTCTCGTCACTTTATCACACACATATACACATGCTTCTATTCACCTTTATTCCTCATACACTTCCTTTTAAATATCCGAACTTCCACTCATTCTTCCTCTAGAACCCAAGACTGAACCCCCGAAACAGCAACTTCAACTTGAGCTGCAAAACATTCTATATTACTCATTAGTCATTTAGGAGCATCAACCAGTAAGCGCCCAGCACAGCCATGTTTATATATACATACATATATATATATATTTATCTACCAACACATTTAATCACCTATACCGTCTTTCCATTTTCACCTAGAGTTCTAACGCTAAACTCATCAAAACAGGGGGTTGGGTTCTGCCATTCCAACACACAACCAGTAAGCACACATGCAACCGCATATATCAACCACGTTTCCTCAGTTCGGCAAGAACAAAAGAAAAACCCTCCTAGCTCAAAAACATAATCCCTATTCGATTAAACCCAAAACAGAGCACCCTTTACTTGGAGCAACAAAAATCAACATGCAAGCTAGAAACCATGAACCATCATCGTCAACAAGCATTAAGCTATCATCATCATCAAGTTCCAGTTTTAATCGAAAGTTTCTCCCACTGAAACTTAAGCTTCGTTCCTCATTAACGCTCCAACCAGTCACCAATCCAAGTAAACAAAGATGGGAGGAGGTTTAGGAGACCCACCTTACTCAGAATCCAAGACTGCATGTAGTAAAACAGCCTCCGATCGCTCTTCCGGTTTCGCTGAACGCTATTTCTCCCGTGCTCTCCTCTCTCGCTCTCCGTCTCTATCTCTTTTTCTCTGGACACCGTCTGAAGTGAATTAACCGCATGGGTGATCAGCTATTAAGTGGAGGAGTGAATCAGGTGGCTAAAAGAGAAGGCAGCACGTGTGTTGTAAAGTTCTTGGACCATTTTGCCCTCCAACATATTTATTCCTCCAATCTTATCCCTCTCCTATTTTTCTGAAATATAAGATATATCCAGAAATTAAACTAAAATATTATAAATGGATTTTTCTTATCCATTAGCTTCTTTGACCCATAAAATAACTTCCCTAAAAATTTCAGATTAAATATAAATCTCTAAGTATTTTTCCATAATTTTCAGAGAAAATAAACCATTTTTCTCTTAAAATTATCTATTAAAATTATTTAAGCTATTTTTGGGGAAATACCTTTTCCAATATGTCTCTAAATCTTAAAAATCAATATTCCATAATTTTCCCCACTTTATTTTGCAAATAAATAATTTTAATGAATTTCTCTCTTTTCTGCTCATCCTGAGTCAGAAAATTCGGGGTGTTACACTTAATACCCCCTCTCTCTTTTACTTAATTATGGTTGAAGGAGTATCTATAGGGGTAATTTAGAGAAAATTGATAAATATGAGAAATGAGTCTTATATTTAGGACCAAAACCAACTCAAGAATTGGGTCCTATATTAAGGACCGGAGGGGTATAATAGTTTTTTTAATTTTATTCCTATTTAATATGTACATCTTAAAAAAAAAACATATGCATTGCAATAAATAAAGGATAAAAATAGTACATTAATACTAAAAATTTAATAAGATAACTTATAAGTAAGATTAAGAAAAACCTTCTCTTTGTCTTATAAATTAGACTAGAGGAGTAACATGCAATGAGAACTCTTATGTAAATAGGTATTCATCATATGTAAGTGAACACATCTGTTATATACAAGTGAGTATCCATATTACGCAGTAAAACCATATGCAAGTAGACATTTATCATATGTAATCAGGATCTGTATTAAGCAATAAACCCATACACAAATAGGCGTCTATCATATACAATACAAGTGAGCATCTGTCATATGTGATTAGTCACATGCAAGTGAGGATTCATTATATGCAATCATATATAAGTAAGGATTCATCACATACAAATGAGGTTCTATTATATTCAATTAAGCATTCTCATATGTAATTACCAATGTAATCCATGATCTAAAAAAGTACACTTGTTGGGAGGATTTTAACCTTAACATTTTCAGCTCGACAGAGATTAGTCTAAAGTCCAAAGTTACTTGAGAATAGTCTAAGTTTTTTTTTTTTTTAAAAAAAAACAATGTAGTGCGTGAAATTTGATGGATGAACATTTTTTTTAACTAATTTATAATACGCATGATTTATTATATATCTTATGTTGATAATATTAACGTTAGTTCTTTATTCTGGTAAAAAAAAAGTTCTTGGTATTTTATTATTGAATCTTTGAGAAAATTAGCCTATAGGTCTTTATAGATTAAGAAAATTGGTTTAAAATATTTATTTGACAAATTAATTAAAGAATGAGACTTGTAGTAAATACAATGGTGAGAGATTCTCAAGTATTAGTGATAGGAAAAGGAATTGAATTGCACCAAGTCGAAATTTAAGAAATCGATTCAATGCTATAAGAACTAAAAAAATTAATTGTTTTCTCAAAATATATTTATTGTAGAAAAAATTAGCAAAGAAAAGTTCTTGTTTGAAAATTTAATTAGCTAAAAAAATCTAAATTTGAGCGAATGTAATTATGGTCTGTAAATGCAACATATCCTTCGTAGAGTACAACATATCATCAATGATATGTAATAATCATCAATACAGAAGTTATTTACACACAGCGAAAGATATGTTATACACACAGATCATATTTACACATATTCAAATTTAGATCCTTTTAGCTAATTAAATTTTTAAACAGAAATATTTTTTTTTTACCAATTCTCTCTTTACGATGCATTGATTAATACTTATAAACTAAAATTATACTTACGTGGGTAATTGTGAAAGCATAGATGTCTTTGAAAGCAACAGAGACTAGCCAGAAGTGATTAGAATAGATGAATTGATGGCAATAAATATATTACTAGTTGCATTTGTATTTTAATTAAAATGAAACTAATAAGAAAAATAAAGTATGTATTGCAGATACCGGAGTTTCGAAGAGTACGAGGGTAGAAAATGTCACAGTCTAAGGTAACCAATAGGCATGTCTATGTACACTGTAAAGCAAACATGACGGTAAATAATTAAGAGAGCCCAGATTTTCTTTTTTTGGCCAAAAACAAGAGAGCCTAGGTTGTGGCTACCCACGTATTCCAGTAATAAAATAAAGTTCAGTTCGAAGCTTGACCCTTTTTTTAAAAAAAAAAAAAGTTATTAGTATTTTAAGAGAAAATTTTCAGACAAGACACCAGCTTTCTCGCTTGCCCATAAATGGAAATTCTGAACCTATTGCATTAAGTCACATCTTTATCTAATCTAGTGATTTTTTTCGTATACTATCTTATCATCTGCCCTTCTCTCTCTCTCTCTCTCTCTCTCTCTCTCTCTCTCTCTCGCGCCTTTCTTCCTTCTCTCTCTGAATTCCAGTGGGCGATTTTGTTCTGATTTTTAAGCTCCAACATTCAGGCACACAAAAGGAAAGAGAATCTGAAAAAAGTAAGTGACGAAAAAGGAAACCAGAATTCTTCTGGCCATGTTTCTGATCTATCTTTCATTTTTTATTTCCCATTTCATGTTACAGTATAACTCAGTTAACTGATATATCTTTCAGATTTCAGATTCTCGGCAAAGCCCTGGCTTTTCCGTCTTCCTGCATTGTCAAAGGCCGAACCCAGTAAAACCCTTACCTCGCTTCATCCCACTTTTCTTTCCCCTCTTTCTTGTAATTGTTCTTTCCGCATCTTTCATAACTATCTGCAGCTTTTGATTCTGATAAATAACAAGACTTTCCTACTCCTAGTTTTCTCGTTGGTTAATTTAATCATCAAGAACCAGCAACAATGTTGATACCTTCCTTCCCCGCAAGCAAATTGTCTGTTCTCGATTCGATCTGATGCTTTTTCTCTGGTTTCTTTAGTTAATGCTCACGGATTGATCTTTGATGATGCTGTGAATAATTTGATGTTGTTATGCAGAGAGGGAAATGACGAGAAAGAAGATAGAGATAAGGAAGATCGATAACATAACAGCGAGGCAAGTGACATTCTCAAAGAGAAGAAGAGGGCTTTTCAAGAAAGCTAAGGAACTTGCTACGCTCTGTGATGCTGAGATTGGTCTCATCGTCTTTTCTTCTACTGGAAAACTCCATGACTATGCAAGCACAAGGTCACTTCCTTCTCTCTCCAAATTTGCTTCATCTATAAAAACCAGGATTAGTTTTTTTAGGTGAAACTGGCCCAAATTCTTGATTTAATAAATTATTTTCTCGAATGTTTTCCTTGGTTATTTTAGAAAGAGAAGAGGAAAATATTTATTCCGTCGAATCATACGAATATACTATAGATTCTGAGAAAACTTGTGAGGATTCTCATATAATTATGAAGGACATAATTGATCAGTCAAATGTTGTACGAAACCATGTGATAACAAATGTCTGATGTAGCTTTTTTTAACCTCTGTAAAATGAAAATGAAAATGAATAAATTAGGAAAATATAACAAATGTTTGTTATATTTATTATTAAAAAAAATGAAGAGAAGTAAAACATTTTATAAACTCAATGTAAAAAAATTTAAAAAAAAGAGCGTAAAATTTTAATAAAGAGAAGATGTAAAATAAAATAACAAACAAAATTAGTTAAAAGTTTTTAGCTCTATTTTTTTAAGTTTTTAAATCAAACTCATTAAAACTTTTCATTCTCTTTCTTTTATCTTCTTCATGCCAATGAACCTTATCGTGATGGAGAGTTTCAAGTTGAATGGATATGTTGTATTAAGCACATTTTTGAATTTTCAAGGCTTTGTTATATTATGATTGCAAGAAAAATAAGAAAAAAGAGGGGAAGGTTACAGGATATAGGAATGATACCTGATGCTTGATTTGGCAATCAAACTTCTTGTTAGAATGTTGCTATATTTTAATTAGAAAAATTGTCAGTCAATAAGATTTTAATTCTTTTTCATATATATAATGATGATTGATCGAAATATTTTTCCATAGTCCACGTTAGAAGAAGAGACATCTAAACATAGTATAATTTTTGAAACATAAATGTTTGAAAACTTTATATTAATGGGAAAAAATGCATGATTGGATGGCACAAAAAGAAGAAATTAAAATGCATGATTGAAAATTCAAGATAAAAAGTGATAAATGTTTTATAAAATTAAAAAAAGAGGTAAATACAAGTCTTGACTCTTAAGCAAATGTAATTAATGAAACACCCCTGAAAAATTCAAACATAAAGCGCGAAAAAATAACTAATTATAGAGACATGCATCCTCTAAAAAATCTTGATCAAACAACATAACACAACTAAATATAATTAAAAATCAAGAAGTTTACATCAATCACTCAGGATCCTGCCTTGAAAAACTCATACAACAAAGGGCTTTGCGGATAAAAAAGGGAAAGATCACTATGCTCTCCCAGCATCACAAGAGGCACCACCTGAAATTGTTGAAATAAGATAAGATACAAATATCCTAATGACCGGGAAAACTTCTAATATAAACTTTTCAATCAAAAGTCACTACAAAAAGGCAGTAAATTAGAAAAATAAATTTTTCTCGTTAATTAGTTAGTGAAGGCTTTTAGGTGGAATTTATAAATTTCATCCTTAGATTTTGTTACTAATTCACTGTCCTTTTGTGACGAGTAAATTAAAGCATTCACCTACAACTCTTCCTTCCATGAATCCATAATGGCTGAGGAGCATCTCATACCATTGCCCTTTATGGTTGGGGATTTATGTTTGGGCTTGCCTTTCACCTTCCGCATTACACAATTACCAGTCTTTTTCGTGTCGATCGGATATGATTTAATTTAGTAAAGGGTTACAATCGGTCACACTCTCCTTCTAGTTCCCAGCTATGAGATAGTAGTTTAGAATTAATGGATCATTACCACGTGGTGATATAGAAACTGACATATCCAGCTAAAATCAGTAATCAAGACATTACTGATTATAAATTCATTACTCATCATCATATCAATCCATTCCAAATATTTGTCATTATGCAAAGAAAAGATATTAAGGATAGAAAAGAAAATCCCACTTACCTCGGCCTTTAAATTAGAACGGAGAAAGGGCAAGCCAACGAAATACCACCGCCAATCCAACAATGTAAGTTTCAAACCAAATCCACGCCAAAGAAACAAGTATAATATGCAATGAAAATTATACAACGTCACACTTAATAAGCTAGACAAGTGTCTGATAACAACCTTGAAATTCACGCAAAGATCACAAGTACCCATTTCACAATTTATCAAAAAGTTTCTCATGAGTAAGAATTTCAACCAAACTTAAAAATACTCGTAGCCATATCCTAACGCCATGAAATTTTAGACACTATACCAATTTTATCCAAGGATTCAAAATGATAAATTAAACTCTAACTAAATAAGGTCTATATTACTTGTACTAAAAATACTTCAAAAATTCGTACAACAAGTCCCATAAATTCAAATTAAAAGTCCATATAACTTACAATCCAACCAAAACTTCTTAATCCAATAATCAATTTAAGGTTACTCATAACATATAATCCAAGTTTCCAAGCCAATATTCCCTTGGAAATATGAATTCCCAACTTAACAACTTATACCCTCTTTGGTATGATGGAATTAGGGGTATGAAAATGAAAATCGAATTCATTTCCATCAAGAAGTTTGCTTGCTATAATGGAATTTCTATCAAGATTGATGGAATTCAATTCCAATCTACATTCCAAAGATTTCAATTCGATGTGCATCTAGCTATATCACTAGCTCTGCTAACCTTCAAGCTTCACATCATCCACCCCACCTCTAGCGATGACAACCCATCCCCAGCCCTCCCCATCTTCGCCCGCTTTCTTTCCATCATTGTCTCCATCTATCCTCCTTCCCATTACCTACTTGACCTTCCTCTTCTAATGGTTGTTAGAAATTGAGTTTTAATTCAGATTTCTTCGCTGCCATAACTAAACCAAGCATGTTCAAGGGTGTTTTTGTGGTTGATGTTAATTCTGTGGTTTTAGGATTGGTAGATGCCCTCTCATGTTGAACTCAATTAGTAATTTGAGTGTTTTAGAGCTTGAGTTGGTCTTAGTGAACTCCGACCCATTAGTGAGCTATGAGAGCTTGAGATACTATCTCTAGGAGCACCTTTGCGTCTGTCCTTTCATTACAAACATTCTTCAATTATAAAACAAATGAAATCCAGAAAAAAAAATTAGTGACTTGGGATTCATTTTAATGCAATTCTACTTAGGTACATCCTAGATAATCCTCTTCTTACCTTTACAACGAACAAGAGACACTTAATTGAATCCTAATCCTTACTCATTTGAGCTCTACAAAGAGAGCAACCAAGTCTACCCTATCCTACATAGTGGTAATCTAGATTCAATTGAGGATGATACGAATAAGCCTCATCAATGATGGTGGCCTCCTCCAAAACTTCTTTCTTATATGAAGACAACAAGGACGTGGGGAGGAGGCAACAATGACAGTGGAAAGGTAGTAAGGTCCAGGAATAGGGAGGATGTGGAATACACTTAACCAAGTCTAATTGCTAACATCCTCAGCACCATCTGAACTCAAGGATAACGGAACACCAATCAATCATAGTACCATAGAACCAATCTTAGCTATAACATGATGCTCTTAAAAAATACCACTTGGATGTAATGAATATTAGTTCATAATTTGGACCCTCTAGAAGCTGCCAACTAGAACACTTATCAATCTAAAATCATCCAATCAAATCCAAAGCAAAACCTAAAAATATAAATCATTGAATCATATAACCAAAATCATCCAAAAAGCCCAGGGACAAACAAGTCTACAACAAAATCCTCAACCAAATCACAAATCAATCTTCACTACAAGCGTAACCTCTCAACTATGAAATACTTAATTGTATACTCATCATTGCATATCATTGCATAATAAAGTCTCAACCACTTAGACCTAAGCTGGTGAGAACTATAAAACTATAAAAATGAGAGGAAGATGAGAGAACTCTTTAATATAGCTCTTGAACTCCGGCTCGAGAGTCACTCCTAAGAGAAGAAAGGTTAGCCATGCATAACAGAAAAGTCAGCTTCACCAAACCTCAAGCTCTACTTGACCATGGCAGCAATGCAAATAGAAGTAATAGAAGGAAAAAATGAGAGGTGAAGGTCACAAATAGAGATAAAGTTGTAAATGGAGGAATCGAAGGTGGATCTAGATGCAAAGAGGATGGATAACCAATGGAGGTAGAGGAATCAAATGTCAGTGATAGGCGAAAGTGAGTGACAGAGGTGATGGTGAATGGTGATGTTGGGTGGATGGAGGAATTAGAGTATGTAGAGGAGACAGATGTGCTCATGAATGAGGAAGAAATGAAAACGAAGGCCAAGATGGATGAATCTTGATGGGTAGAGAGGAATTAGGGCTAAAAAAGAGTTGTTTGGGTGCTGAAGTAAGATGGGATGGAAAGGAATTGTGATCCCTTATTAGAGAGAGTTGAAATGGAAAGTCAGATCCTTTAGAAAATGGAAAACTGGCAGAATTACAGCTTCATAAATAATATTGTAACTCCTATGCCTAATGCATTTTAAGCGGTCTATTGATAATCTCATGTCTTTTTCCTCTAAATGTCACCTACAAAATAAACCATATAAGGGTAATATCATGTTATCAAATAGATAAAACACTTGGGAAGATTAAAAGTGATTAAACCCACCAATTAATTAATTAATTCGTTTAGCACAATTAAACTTAATTAGCATGATTTCATGCAATTTAAGTACTTAAAAGCTCAAGACTAGACTAAAAAAAACCATATAAATAAAGGGATACAAAAGGATGAGGGGGACTACGAGCACCATTCGCCACAACTAGGACTTCACAAACACCTTAAAGAGGGTGGAAGAAGATGAGAGGGAGTTTAATTAGATGTGACTATCTATCCTAAATGCATTTTTTATGGGCTCATTAGGAAAGTATTCATCATCATCCAGATTAGCAAGAAAATTTAAATCAACATCTTTATCTTCATTCTTATGTGAAGTGGAAAGTGTGAAATCCAATGTAAAATTTGAGCACAACACATCATCTTCTCATGTATGGGTAGGCAAAGAAGAGGAAGATGATATATTATACATATAACTAGGTCTTAGAGACAATTCATGGTGAGAATGTTATCTAAGATAATACAAGTAAAACATGCTCAATTTCTTAGCAAATATTAGTGCT